CCTCTTATGATGCTTGCATGGAAGATAAGCCCTTGTCTAGCTGCTGGAAATACAGTTGTACTCAAACCGGCTCAAGTTAGTCAGCATCTTAATGAAATCTTTATCTACCTCATTCACTCTCTCTTTCTCTAATTATCAGGTAACTCCATTAACAGCTTTAAAGTTTGCTGAGCTATCAGCTAGAGCTGGATTCCCTAAAGGAGTCATCAACATTCTTCCTGGAAAAGGTACTCATTTTGTATTTTGAATATTATCAGTGTATATCATTGTTGTTATAATACAGGGTCTATAGTTGGTCAAGGATTGTGCGATCATATGGATGTCAGAAAAATTGGTTTCACTGGCTCGACTGAAGTTGGTAAAGGAATAATGAAGAGGTATTTGCACTATGTGTTGTTGTTTTCAACAATAATAGCTACTTGCATTCATTTACTTTAACAAGCTCTTATTAACTGGAATTAATAAAATCATTATTGTGCAGAAAATGTACCAATTATTATAGCAAGGTTACATAAGTTTTGCGAGCCATTTTGAAGTGAATTCTACTTACATGTAATGCAAGATGTTACTAATTGTCAAAGATTTGATACACAAGTTGCTCAGTCTAAGACCCTGTACTATATAGGGAACTATGTAGGGCAAAAGGTATTTCACCCAAATGATATCAATTAATTTCTAATGCAAAATTATAAGTTTGAGCTAGTTCCAATCATTATTACAAATTTTGAGCTTAAAAATTTTGCCAAAAACTCTCTAACCCCTGTACTACATAATATTTTATCAAAAATGGTTAGGAGAAAAATCTAAATTTTTTTAAAGCTTTAGCTGATTTTGATCATGTTCTATGAATTTTCTCAAAATTTCGTCAAAATGAAAACCTGTACTAATTAAGTTTAAAATTTCAAAAAAGAATGAGGATTTACTCCATAGTTTGTGTTAATTCATTTTAAGCTATCCTATACGTATCAACTTCATGTAACATGTTTCAAGCTCGATTGACTCCTGTATAAAATATGTTTCATAGTGTATGGTGGCCTTAAATCATGATTGCACAATACATTGTTTTGATAACACATTGTTACCTCAAAACATGACAGAAAGTAATGTACTAAATGACTATCCTTGAATTTTCCACAGGATTTTAGCATGGTGCTCATGCAGCTTCTTTGCCAAGTTGCTCAAAAATTAGACCAGAGACCCTGTCTTAGGGTATTCAAAAAATCACAAGAAAATAATTTGGCATTTTTATAATTTTTTTTGATACATATACATGTACTTATTTTGCGTAGAAAGTTTGAGTTGATTCCAATGAAATTTAGATTTTTTTACAAATTTTTAAAGTTACTTAAATATTGGGCCAAAGTCCCTGTACTATAGTACAGGATCTTTGGCTGAATTTTCCCAAAATTAATATAAAAATTCTCCATTTTTATAATTATTAGGATTCTTGACCGAATTTTGCCAAAATGAACAGGCAAAAGTTCTCCATTTTAATAATTTTTCCTAGTGCACATTCATGTGCATATGTTTCATAGAAAATTTGATCTGGTTTTGATCAAATTTGGATTTTTACAAGTTTTTAAAGTTACTTAAAAATTAGGCCAAAGTCCCTGTACAGAGTCTTTGGCCAAATTTCACCAAAAATGAATAGAAAAGAATTTTTCATTTTTATAATTTTTTGATACATATACATACCTTTACTGTGTATCATTTTTGAGCTGATTCTGATCAAGTTTGGATTTATTTATAAAATTTTAAAGTTGCTCCAAATGCCATGTACTGTAATAATAGTGCTTAGCATGCTTCTTGGGAAACCCTGCCAACATCAATCCTTATGTTTTAATGTAAATTGGCTTAGCTGGTACAATGTAGAAAGGAATTTGCATCAGAATTAAGATTAGAGTTATTGCTGGTATCATTTACAACCTAACTTGCCTTTTTGTGTGATAAATACACTGTGAATCCTACTCATTCATTTTTTGTATGTAATCACTTGTACTTATTTTATTTTAGTTGTGCTGAGAGTAATGCTAAACGAGTATCACTTGAGTTAGGTGGTAAATCCCCACTCATCATCTTTAGTGATTGTGATCTTGATAGAGCTGTTAGACAAGTTAGATATAACACTGACCGAGTGTGTGTTTATTATTGAATCAGTCACTAGGTGCAGTGTTCTTCAATAAAGGGGAAAACTGTATTGCTGCTGGACGTTTGTTTGTTGAAAGACAAATACATGATGAATTTATTGAGAGAGTAATTGAAGAGGTTAAGAAAATGAAGATAGGTGATCCACTGGATCGCTCAGTATCTCATGGCCCTCAGAATCACAAGTAAACACTTTATTAGTAACTATTGTTCCTATCTGTAACAATAGAGCTCATCTTGATAGCTTGATACATTATATTAAGGTGGGAG